TAAGAACAAGATTGACAAATGGCCAGAGGATGTGAAGAGGTAGTTTGTAAAAAGAAAGGGAAACTATCAACAACCGTATGAAAAAAAAATAACCCAAGTGACTAACAGTAAGAGATATCCAAATGAAAACAACACTGAGGAATTAACCAAGCTGACAAAAAATGGAAAAAGACCAATTATTTCAGGGACCGTAGAAGGCCCTGCACATTCGTGTACTACTGGTAGAGCTATGAATCAGTTCAGCCATCTTGGAAAGCAATTTGGAGCTCTACCCAAAAAGTCACTAAACTGTACATAACCTTCTGCCTGATTAGCTCCTACAGTGAATAGAAGGCTGGATCTGCAGACGAAAAGACAAGTTCAAATCTATCCTCAGACATTTATCGGCTGTGTTACCTTCTTAGCCTCAGTTTCCTCATCTGTTAAATGGGAGTAATAGCACCAACTTCCCCTGGTCATTGGGAGGCTCAAATGAGATAATATTTGTAAAGTGCTTTTTATCCTGTTCCCAACATCACTACCCCCAAGAGAAAAAAGAAAGAAGGAAAGGAGCCATATGAACAAAAATATTTTAGCAGCACTTTTTGTTATAGCAAAGAACTGGAAAGGTCTCCATGAATTGGGGAATGGCTAAATAAATTATAGAACATGAATGTAAATAATGTTATTGCACCATAGGAAATTATGAGACACATTCAGAGAAATCTGGGAAAGTTATACTCTGATGCAGAGTGAAGTGAAGAATACCAGGAAAACAATTCATATGATGATTACTATATTGTAAAGGAAAACAACTGTGAAAGACTTAACAACTTTGATCAATTCCTGTGAGCAACTGGCTCGAGGAGACTGAAGATGAACAATGCTTTCCACTTCTTGACAGAGAAGTGGTAAATTGGAGTCAGCTGGTGTCAAAGAGGATGGAACTCTTGGCCAGGAGTTGGAAAGACCTGAGTTCAAGTCCTTCCTCAGATACTAGTGTGTGACCCTGACCAAGTCACCTAAACTCTGTTTTCCTCAATTTCTCCTCAGTTGCAAAAATGGAGATGATAATAACACCAAACTCACAGTGTTGTTGTGAGGATCAAATGAGATAATATTTGTAAAAGTGCTTAGCATGGTGTCTGGCTTACAGTAGATGCTACATAAATACTTATTCCCTTCCAAAGTGAGACGTTCATTCTTGTATGACTTGCTGCAAAAAATACTTACAGCAAATTTCTCTGATAAAGGTCTGATATCCAAGATATATAGAGAATAGATTCAAATAAATAAGTACCAGAGCCATTCCCCATGGCCAATGCATGTATTTGCTTTGTTTGGCTATAGTTATTTGTCAGAAGGGAAGACTGTGGGGCCATCTCCAGTCATCCTGATCTATATCTTGCCACTGGACCCAGGTGGCTCTAGAGGAGAAAGTGAGGCTGGTGACCTTCCACAGCCCTTCCTCACTTAAATCCAATTTACTTGCAAGTTATGGCATCTTCTTCCTGATGTCATGGTCCTCTTCAAGAACGAAGGACAAACACCAACAACGAGGGAAGACTAGTTGTTGGAAGAGTGAAGACAGTTTTGGCATGTGGGGAATGGTAGTGATATGAAAAGAATAGAACATTGATAAAACATTTTTTAAATATACAGAAGATAGTTCAGAAGGAGGGCAAGCAGAACAGGGTTGAAACTACTGTTAAATTTAATATATACTTAAAAAGAAGACCTGAGCTTAAGTCTCACCCCTGACATATACTGACTTTGTGACCCTCACCAGCTCACTTAACCTCTCAGTGCTCTAGGCAACAACTTTCTAAGAAGATAAGTTGCAAGAGGTTGGTGACCATACTGGTAATTGGAGTTTCCTCTTCCGAGAGTTCCCTGTATCAGTGAAATCCCAGTTCCAGTCCCTAACCCCCCTCCACCTCTATATACATTGTCGCAGTCATTGCATGTATTGGTTTTCTAGTTCTGCTCACTTCACTTGTCATCAGTTCATATGCCTTTGCATGCTTCTATATACTCTTCATATTCATTGCTTCTTATAGCATGGTAACATCCATGAACCACAGTTTGTTTAGCCATTCACAATCGATGGAAATTTACTTTGTTTCCAGATCTCAGCTACTACAAAAAGTGCTGCTATGAATATTTTGATGTATATGAGCCCCTTTCTTTTTATCGTTGACTTCCATGGGGTATACACTTGACAGTGTGATCTCTACTGGAATCCTTTCCTAATCCCTCTTAATTCTAATGTCTTTCCTCTGTTGATTAGTTCCTATTTTTCTGTATACAGTTTGTTTGCATATAGTTGTTTCTAGGCTGTCTACATCATTAGATTGTGAGCTCCTTGAGGACAAGAACTGCCTTTTGTTTTCCTTTGTATCCCCAGCACTAAGTTCAACTTCTGGCATATAGTGAGCAAGTAATAAATGCTTATTGGCGATCGACTGGGTGAAAACATACANTCATTAGATTGTGAGCTCCTTGAGGACAAGAACTGCCTTTTGTTTTCCTTTGTATCCCCAGAACTAAGTTCAACTTCTGGCATATAGTAAGCAAGTAATAAATGCTTATTGGCGATCGACTGGGTGAAAACATACGGTCATTTTTGTCACTTTATTAGTATAATTACAAATTGCTTTCCAAAATGGTTATGGGGAAGAGTAGTTCAAGCCGGGAGAAGAGCAAAGACATGGAGATAGGAATGAATATGGCCTGTCTGGGAAATAGTACTGATCCGCCTGGCTAGAGAGAGTTCAGACTAGGGGGAGGGAGGTAAAGGAGATGAAATTACATCGAGAAAATGAGGGCTGGCTATCTTGTTGTCAAGCTCCTTGAGCGTCCAGCTGAAATTTCCCTTTAGGCAAAGAGGAATCATTGGAGGTATTTAACAGGGCAGTAACAAGATGAAAGGGATGCCTTAGAAAGATTAATCTGGCAACAGAGGATAGGATGGATTGGATAGGGAGAAAAACCAGATCTAGAGAGACCACTTAGTCTTCTAACTACTATAGTAATGTAGGCTGGAGGCTATGAGGGCCTGGGCAAGTCTGAGAGTAGTGAAATGGAAACGTTAGAAGTGGGTAAAGGGAAACATTTCAAAGCAAAAATTGGCAGGCCTTAGTGACTGAATCGATTCAGGTGATGGAGGAGTCAAAGGTGACTTTGAGGCATCGAGCTTAGGTGGCTAGAATAATGGGAGTGTCATTGACAAGATTTGTGTGGTTTAGAAAAAAGCCCACATCCTTTTTTTTTTTTTAATAATCCATCGTCTTTATTAACAATACATTTGGAATCCTGAAAGACCAGACTGTTATTTAATAAAGCAATATTAATTTTTGTTCTCTATGAGAAAAATACTTTTGCATAAATAACTTAAACAAGAAAATAAATAGGTAACTTATTTTTTTTAAAAAACAATTACTTTCATTCCTGCGTCAGGGTCCGACCTGGAGGCACTGCAAACACAAGCTACCAGACCCGCAGGCTTTCACATTGAATACACTTAAAACACACACACACACACACACACACACACACACTACAAAACATTTTTTAAAATTATACAGAAAGAAGTGTCTGAAAATGTTTTGCCAAAAGATTTTTGGACTGCAGTTATTGCATTTTGTGGGGTTTCAGCATATGTACAGCAATTGCAAGTTTCTTTTTGTTTTTGATTTCCAACAATAATCTTTCAACGAAAGGAACATCAACACATGTATGCGTGGGACTAAGCTATTTTCAGGATAGGAATGTGCCAGTGAACTACATGTGCATGGACCAGGCCTTTTGACCGGCTCGTCTTTTACAATGAACCAACACCGGTCTCTGCCACGAAGACCCGTGGGCACAGACCCCAGGTACTGGTAGGAGGAGGGGGGCTGGGTCACAAGAGAACTTTGCAGAGGTTACCATAAAAAAGAAAGTGTTAGGTCAGGAATAGAACTGTCCTTCTGGGAAGGAGGGCATGGTTTCTCCAGCTGCTTTTCCCCCAACACCCTCAATCCCGGCTTACTCTAAAAAACCCAGTACTGTTATTCCTTTCCTACCTAGGTCGAGTTTTGTGTTGGGAGTTAGCCCATCTCCTTGCCCTGCTGACAATTCAGCGGTGGCTGAAAATGAAAGTTCACAAGCTTTGCAAACCGTATTAACTCTGCAACCACTCCCCCTGAGGGGGAAGAATTTGCTTACAACTGAACTGGAAAGCCAGGCGGTGAAAGATACCATCTCTCCACCCTCCTTGAACACTGGCGAACAGAACTAGGTTTTGATAGAAAGGCTAGATGATCTGGTAGTTCAGATTCTCAAAGTTGGCTATGTCCTTCAAGATCATCTGGTCCAATTTCTCTGTTTCCTTTTTAAAGGTGGGGTTTTCCTTTTTGACAACCTGATGTTACTTACACCTTAAAGACTTTCAGATGAAATTGGGACCAGGAGACAATGGAGGACTAATCTCGTGCCACTTTCTTTTCTAATCAGTAGGTCATAAATATTACTGAAGATTGCAAAACCCAGGGCTTAACATACCCTTTAGGCACTGCTAAGAGCTCTCTTTTAACCCCTGGGGTATAAGCGAGCTGGCGGAAGGAATGGGGTAGTGCAGAGACTTTCCCCTCCGAACTCCTGTAGTAGTGGTGGTGGGACTGGGGGTGTCTCGGTTGCCGTAGATCCTACCTGTTCAGCTCTCCCCTTCCCAGAGAGACAAGGGACCCACCTGTTCCAAGGCTGGCGGGAGGCCCATCGTCCCCTCCACGTGGCTACTGCACGTTGCTTGGTCCCCTCCCAGTTGCCCAGTGGCCTGGCTATCATTCTACCTCGGCCTCTGCGCTAGAAGGTTCAGGCTTCGGGATTTGGGGAGACAGACCCTACCCTGCATTTCAGGCAAGAAAACAAAACGAAACAAAACAAAGAAACAGACAAAGACCCAGAGGCTGTCGGAGAGTGACCTCGGCTCTGGCACGTCTTGGAGGGAGAAGCGGCCTGGGTCAGGGGCTAGGGACTCCCTAGTAAGCATTCTCCAGCTCTGGCTGTTTGGACTTGCCGCTCCGCATCCGGGACAGCCGCGGCTTCTTGTTCTTAGCGGGTCGAGTGGCCTCCTTGCCGAAGTCCTTGAGCTCCGATTGGTTGTGGAAACGAGTGTAGCGCTTGCATTTGCAGGAGACCACTACACGGATCTTGTGAGTCCGGGCCTCTTCGCCTCCCGGGCACAACAGCGGGATGCGCTGCGTGCGGTAGCGGTCAGGGATGCAGCGATAGTCCGGGGCGTTCTGGCGCCACAACCATTTGCGCCCAATAGCATTGGGCTGCAGGTGCGCTGGCCCGCACTGGCCCGAGCACACCAGCTCAGTGACCGGCTTGGCGCTGCGGCAGGGCCCATCGGTGATGTAGCGGGTGAAGTGCAGCTCCCGGCAGCTGTAATCCGAGGCGTCTGGGGGTACAAGGGGAAGCAAGCTGCTAGTGACCAGCGATAAAGGTGGGATCTGGGCTAGAAGCTCCCCTGACCTCTCCAGGTCTAGTCAGCTGCCTTAGACTTCATGCATCAAGCTCTTGTCCCCCACCCCCGCCCCAACCCCTAGGAGCCTTTTCCTCAAGCCTATCCCTCAAGTCGCATTTCCTTTGTAGAGTTGTCAATGCCTACACATTTGAGTTTTTGCAACTAACTGGATTGTTCCCCGAATCGTCTTCAAAAAGTCCTGGAAACGGGGCAGCTAGGTAGCGCAGTGGATACAACACTGGCCCTGGAGTCAGGAGGACCTGAGTTCAAATGTGGCCTCAGACATTTGAT